GTGCATTGCACCTTACCGCACCACAAAGATGTAAATCAGGCCGCAGGGGTTTCATGTTTTTGTTTGGGGTTTTTCTCGGTATATTGCCATGGGTCTTCCCTGGGCATGCAGATACTTGAAGCGTTGAAAATCAAATTTGGTTTGGATTTGGCTATTTAAATGAGACCCAAGCACATTTCTATTTAAAGAACTATCTTTAGTGTTTTTGCATTTCTTTAACTAACAGTGAGGACATTGACAGAGTTGGCGGCCTCACTGGAATATTGAAAGCTCTCATTGCAGAACATTAATGTTGCTTGTGGTAAGCTTTATAAGAACATAAGTACTGCAGTTCAGACCACCAAGTCCATTCCATTTTACAGCTCTCTGGTGGAAATTGTACTTGGTGAGCACAATAAAGCCAAATAAAATCCATACACATTACACATTAAAGCTTTCAAGATTAAAGATTGGCCATGGAGACATTGTGGAAGTCTAGCCTTTCTAAAATGTGGAGCAAAAACAGAAGGCTGATAAAATATGGAGATAAAGTTTAGTGAATTACTTGAGATGCTACTCAAATTTGCCAAGTCCAATCAAGGATTATTATAGGCAGATGCACACCAGATCCACTTACAGGGATTAGAAGTACCTGCAACATCGATTATCTGAAAGTTGGACGAAACAGTTTCACATAATCATTTTACATCCTTATAAAAAGGTTGTTTAGGCAAGTGAAGTACTTAAATAAAGTGTCTGAGATGACATTTCAGAAATCAATAAAAACAGGGTACAAAGTGCAGCAAATGGAAATTTAAGTTTTACCTCTCAGGCAGAAGAGTCTAATAAAGCAAGCATTATTAGACTGTGTCAAACTAATCTGAGCTCTGTTTCATTTGATACTTGATAAACTCTGCGGTGCGTTCAAACCCAGCTGGCTTAAAGGGCCACTAAAGAAACTGCAAGCTGGTTTCTATAAAAGACCATTAGACTTTTATTGTTTTTCTTTATGTATTTGGGGATTGGAAAATATCTACAATTGTGTCTTGTTATATTTACAATTTTCAGTTCAACTTTGCTGTATTTTAGTCGACTTTATTATTTGTCTGGGTACAGTTCCTAATGATAACCAGGAAAATGACAAACAAATGCAACCTTTAAAGTGACACTAAACGTAAGAGTTCAATCTTAAAAATACATTCAAGTGCCATAATTGTTAACAAAAATGTATCTTATTTGTGTATCACTCGGCTGTAGATCCTCAACACTGTCCTTCCTTCTGGAGGGTGGCTACTTTTATTCCCCATGGCCCCTGTGTGTGTTGTAAAGTTGCCACCGCTCCAAGCTCACTCCTGTGATGGACTACAATCTTACTACAAATTAGTAAAATAACAGTGAGATTGTAGTCCATCACAGGAGTGAGCGTAGAGTGGTGGCTACTTCATATAACACACAGGGACTATGGGCAACAAAAATAGCCACCCTCCAGAAGCAAGGGCAGTGTCAGCACGAACGCAGAGATGATTTGAGGATCTATAGCTGAGTGATATGCAAATAAGCCACATTTTTGTTAATAGTTAAAGAAGAACATTTGGGCTTCCCCTGCACTGCAAGGGTTAACTGCTCATTTTTGTCTAGGTGCTAAAAAGAAAAGTTATACTCACCTGAACCACTGAGTCGGCTCCCTGCTTCTCTGGTCTCTGAAACCTGTCTCCTCTTATGAAGCCGCATTGGAATGTTCCTCAGCATAGTCACATCTATACACTATGTATAGAACGTGATGGAGTATAGAGGAGGAGAGAGGCTGGAAGGAGCAAGAGCAATCCGGCTCCGTGGTTCAGGTGAGAATAACTTTTTTTATTTGAGACCCTAGACAAAAATGAGTAGTTAACTCTTGCCGTGCATGGGGTAGCTCCACTACAAGGGTTAATAAATGTTTTGCCCAGAGTTCTCCTTTAAGGCACTTGCATTTATTTTTAAAGTTTAACTCCTGAATTTACTGCCCCTTGAGGTATTAAATGCGAACCAGGGTGTAGCAATTATCGCATAACCCAATGTTTACAGCAGGTCTTTTGTTGAACTGCTAACATAGCCTGTGTTGGCCAAGCCACTGACATTGGGGAAAAAGCAAGCACACCCAACATATTATAATTTCAAATCAGTATAGGTATGCTGATCAAAGGATCCAGTGCACCTCCAGCTCCTCACTGGTGGAAATCTGTACTAACAGAGAGATGCAGGCAGTTATTACTGCTCTCCTTTTTAAAAATATTAGTTGCTGCGACTATGTTGCTATATTAAAAACTTTACAAAAGGCTTTAAGTAGAATTAAACTCTCATTTTGTTTGCATATATCTACTGCTAGAAAACAGTAGCAAAAACATTTTTAAAAAAGTTACCAAAAAGGTAACTACTTACCTGTGTCTCCAACGCTCGCTCCCGTCTGAAGATCTGAAGATTCTCGAGCGGCCATGCAGGATCAAGTGGCGGGTGCATGCGCAGTAGAGCTCTACAGCAGGGAGAAGAGGACAGACACAGTGGAGTTGAATGCACGCAGCCGGCAGCGTGCATGTCGGACAGACACCATGGGACAAAGAAGACACAGCAGTCAGCGCTGGATTAGAGACTGGCACCAGCGCTGGAGGGATTGCTGAATACTAGTGGAAGGAAAAAGATGATTGGATCAAGAGCATGAGGGGAGGAAAAGCTTTGTGACTTTAATGTCACTTCAGTACATATCTGTCATGTTGTCAAACTTTGCTCTCTTGAAAGCTACAATGCTTGCCTAATCTTCAGCATTCATCACACTTCTGGGTGTGTCCAATGTCTAGTTCTCTGCTGAGCACTGTGGTTTCATTTGACAACCCTTGCATCCCTACAGAACACAGTAGTGATGTAGGGGGTGGTGAAAAGAACTGCAGAGGCACATCATGCATCCAACTCTTCTGGAAGTTTTAAATGCTGAAGATTTTTCAGCCAGTGGTATATCTTCAAAACAGTGAATATTAGCAGTGAGGAGAAACAGGACAAGTAAGCATTCATTTAAAGTGACACAAAACTCAGGAGTTAAACCTTAAAAAAGCATTCAAGTACCCTAACTATTAACTAAAACATAACTTACTGTATTTGTGTATCATTTGGCTGTGCAATCATCAAATCATCTCTGAATTTGTGTTCTTCCTTCTAGAAAGTTGCTACTTTTGTTGTAAGACTGTAGTCTATCACGGGAGTGAGTTTGGAGCAGTGGCTACTTTACAACACACACAGGGATTATGGGGTTTAACTATTAGTAGAAATGTATCTTATTTGTGTATCACTGGGCTGTAGATCCTCAGATCATCTCTGAATTCATGCTGGCATTGTCCTTCCTTCTGGAGGGGGGCTCAATTTGTTCCCCGTGGTTCCTGTGTGTGTTGTAAAGTAGCCACCGCTCCAAGCTCACTCCTCTGATAGAATACAATCTTACAACAAAAGTAGCGACTCTCCAGAAGGAAGGACAGTGTCAGCTCCAATTCAGAGATGATTTGATGATCCACAGCCGAATGATATGCAAATACAGTAAGTTATATTTTTGTTAATAGTTAGGGTACTTGAATGCTTTTTTAAGGTTTAACTCCTGAGCTTAGTGTCACTTTAAATTTTTTTGTACAGGCTCCTTTAAAGTCTATAAACCAACCGAAAACAAGGGGAAAAAGCTTTTGAGCCAGATAAAGCCATCAATGCAACAGCATTGTAATGCTATACAGCATTAAACTGTGTTCAGGTTACCTCTAAATTTCTGATTAGAATTAATTAATGGAAATGTATACTTATTTTGCATATATTTTCTTTCTGTTTTACAGTAAGAACCAAGACAATAAAATATTTAAAATATCCAGATTTTTAGGTAAACATGAAATGTTTCATACTAAGGAAGAACTTCACCTGGTTTTAAAAATGTAAAAGTCAACAAAACGGAGTTCAATCCAGCCCGTTCTTGTGGGAACCTGATTTTATCACAGCTTTTTAGGGTTCCACACTGCCAGCTCTGATTCAGAAGCCAGTTGTGACTTCCTGATTAGCCATATCTAGCCCCCTACTGTGCATACGCCAGACCGAAGGATGCCTAGAGCCTGGTTTCCCAGTTCCACATTATTCTCCTGTCCTATCTGATGTCTGTTTTTAGAATGCAGAGTTCCATTTTAGTTATTAAATTACCCTGTCACCTGGGTTAAAAGTTAATACCATAAGCACCCTGTAAAAATTGGTTTGCTTTACTTACCTGTCTGGTGGATGGTGAGTCCAGTCTTTGCTCTGTTCAAAACCTACGGCTGCTGGTATCTACATGGCACATCCACCAATGTGTGCTATGGTTCTACTACTTTGTCCTTAAATGACAGTGACTGGCAGGTGGAATTACAGCTCTTTAATGAGGGTCCATGTATATTGTCACATGGGAGTTTCTTAGTACAAAGTGACAGTAATAAAACCATGACAATAATACATGTAATTATTAAGGTTAAATTAAAGGCAGAAAAAAATAAAAAGAGGAAGCACTGGCAAACATATGACCACTATTTCGCTTCACACAGGGTATCCCTGCACTTGTCAAATCTTTAAAACTTATTTATGGAGAATGATTTTGGTTTAACATTTAGTGGATGATGTAATAGAAGCTTAGAATGTAAATAACCTATTTACAGTTTGCTGTTGTGTTGCAGGAGCGTGCTATTTTGAGTCTTAAAGTATTTGTCAAAGTTCAATCTTTTCTTTCATTTATTGTAGTATTGTAAGTTGTTTTATATTTGTGCCAATAACAATTTTAGTGTATTTGGTTAAAATTATTGTTTGATAAACTTTTGCACAAATATCATGAGACACAAAATCAAGAATGTATTTTCTTCCCTACATATCTTCTTAATTTAAAAAATATATATATAATTTAAGGGTCAGTTAAGGAACTTTTAAGTTTGTAGTATACATTCTATGGGTGCAAAATGGAAGCTGAATGAAACTGTTTTCTTATTTTCTTTTACTATCAGGTACACAGAGGCATAAAAGGAGTAGTGAAGGATGAACATGGAAATCCCATTAAAAATGCCCGCATCTCAGTGAGAGGAATTCGCCATGACATCATGACAGGTACTTTTTAGGCTTTTTCTGGACTTTTATTATATTTGTAGTGATGACATACAGCACACAGTAAAGTAAAAAATAAAAAATTAGAAAGACAAACTGTAATGCAAAGTTAATGAAAGTGCTTCCATGGCAATGCTTTACTCCTTTTTGTCATTTATTTTCATTTTTCTTTATTAATCCATTTAGGGTTTTGTGACATATTTTGCACACAAAACATTCTGCGATGCAGAATATGTCTTACATGTTATTTAAAGTGACTATACTGAAGGACAAGTCATAAAAGTAAGGGAAAAGATCCACTCTTATCTTTCTAACCCCACAAAGAAAAACGTAAGCCAATACTGACTTTCTGACAGTTAGAATTTGCATGCGACTGACATTTCGTCCACCTTTAAGTGCTAATGATAGGGCCTGGTGAATGGCGGCTTAGCACCGCATTGAGGGAGGTGAGGAGGAATGTTATGCGTGCCTTTATATCCAAGGGATCTAAGAGGAGATACCCTTATTTTTTATTACTTCTGTTAACTGCTACAGGTATTATTGCAGCCATCTCTAGGTGTCTGCACTTTTCGCTTTCAACATTTTTATTTTAATGGCTAAAAAGCTAATTAAAATGATTAAATCACTTACAATGGATGCTGCTCCTTAACTTTTAAAAGATTTACTGGGCTATTTACAAAAGGGTGAAGAGTTTGGAGAAGGCAGGGTAAGTGAACAATCTAGCACAACATAGCTGAACTGGAAAGTGAGGTGAATTGGAGAATTTTTCCAAATCAGCTATGTTGTCCTAGATTGTTCACTTCTCCTGACTTCTCCAAACCCTTCACCCTTTTGTGAATAACCCTGTAAATCTTTTAAAGGTTAAGGAGCAGCATCCATTGTAAGTGATTTCATTATCATTTTAATTAGCTTTAAAACATTTTTAGGGTTATTTACAAAGCTGCCGTAGGCAGCCGACTGAACAACCGGCCCGAAGTGAAGTGAGCCGAACGCTGTTCGGCTATTCACTTCAGGCTTGCAGGGCTGATTTCATTTGGCTCAGCTATTCTGCTCGGTACCTCCGTGGTACCGAGCAGAATAGTAAAACAGTGAAAAAAAGTTTTTTTTTAAATAACGTAGAAAAATACTGTTTCCAAATGTAAATAAATGACCAATGTTAAAAAATAAATAAAGATCTCCAAAAAAAAAAAAGATTATTGAAAAAAGAAAAATAAAGATCAATAAAAAAAAGAAAAAAAATCTAATAAGAAAAAAGAACAAAACAATTGGGCGGCGCTAACTTCCGGACCTGTACAGGCTATAGTGAATAGCCCGAACAGCAGGCTCTGGCGGCCGAAGCTAACCGAAGGATCAGCCGGAGCTACGGCTGATCCTCCGCCTCGCTTTGTGAATAACCCTCTTTGACTTCTTCACCCTTTTGTGAAAAGCCCTATTAGTTTCCTGCAGAATCCGCTGGTCCCCTGAGCACTGGACCTGATATTAAAAAGCAAAAAAACACATATGACTAAATTTGATTTATATATAATTTTGCCATTTTTGTACCAGAGGTGTCATGGTAAATGGGACAAATTGCAGGATAAATTTGGCACTTATATTGTGACACTCACTTGAAAGTTATCACTGGTCATATTGGAAAAAAAGGTATTTTTTTGCTTATAAATATATAGTATATAAAATAATGAATCAATTTATGAAGACTGCAAACAAAAACGTTGTTGGTCTCAAAAATAAATAAGCAAACACGGTAATTAAAAAATATCTCTAGAGCTAAATGCTTTAATTAAATAGGTTGTATGGAACTTTTGTGGCCATAAAAATCTATAGTTATTAGGTTGGCGGGAGAGTATAATAAATGATATGGCTAAGACTAGCATTTGATACAGTGATACAGTTAAATATTACTACTCCGTTGCCAAAGAAAACGGAAAATTGTATCATACTTAGCAGTAATTTTCCTTTCGTGGTGCCTATCCGTGGCAGCATACCATTGATATGGCTCCGCCCCTTATTCCCCCCCCCAAAGGACCAGTGTAAATCTATAAAAGAGAGAGATTCCCCTGCATTCTTATAACAATATCGCATTCAGAACTTGAGGGTAGCTATGCTGCCATGTATAGGCACCAGGAAAGGAAAATTACTGGTAAGTATGATATAATGTTCCGTTTTCCTGGTGCCTCCATGGCAGCATACCATTGATAAATAACGAGCTGATGGGTGGGTTACCGCAAAATTCCTCTGTTAATGAATCCAAGAAGCCTGGATGGCTTGTCTGCCAAAGTCCACTGTAGTCAGGACCCCTGGGGCGATCCCGTAGTGTTTAATAAAGATGTGCTGTGAGGTAGATCACCGTAACAGTCCCGGAACTTGCCCTTGCCCCTTGAACCTGCCCCCGGGAAGTAGGAACAGGTGCTCCGATGACCTGAAGGAGTCCGTTAGATCCAGATAGGAGCGCAGAGTCCTGGCCACATCCAGGTCATGCAGCTCCGATCCATGCGGATGGCCTTTGAAGGATGGCAGGACCCATTCATGTGCCAAATGAAAAGGCAACACTACTTTCGGTAGAAGGCGAGGAAGAGGAAAAAAGACAAAACAGCGGCCGTCAGCGAATGCACTCTTTTGGAAAACTTAACCTTGATGTTGGTCCCCTACCGTGAAGCGGTTGGCAGGTCTTGCACAAGTGGAGAAAGGTCCACGGCAGAGGAGGTAACAACACAAAGATAACTGTAAAGGAGCATAGAGGGATAGGTCAGAGGAAGACAGGGGAGATCCAAGACATCTGCCCTGGAACC